GCTGTATATAGCTGGAAAGGTTGGGCAGCTGTTTCGGAATTAAAAGACTTGTTATTTTTTTTTACCCTCTAATACACAAAACAAAGTTTCACAAAGGTGTTATTTTTAAAATTACAGATAAGATGTTTCAGTTTTAATGTTAGGTTTCCCTAGAGGTCATAACAACTCATATTTGTATAGTCCTTTAAGACTCCCAAAGCATTTTCTTCACAGTGCTGAGGTATGTAATACAAATTTTATTATCTTCATTTTACAGATGAAAAAATTCAGAAATGTTAAGTGAGTTATTTAAGGTCATATAATTTGTAAGTAAGTGTCATAGTCAGAATTTGAACACAGGTCTTTCTCACTACACCAAGATGTCTTATTTTTTTGGAAGAATATTTTATTATTTTACATTCTGAAGTCTAACTAGAAAACATTTTTAGGATAGACCATCTAAAATTCAAAGAAATTTAATGTTTAAAGTAGAAGAAAGCCAAAACAAAAAAGAGCAAAATTATGTAGACTGAAAAACTTCTTAGTGAGCATGAATGCTTCATCCCCATTTATCATTATTTTATATATATATATATAAAATGTATATATATATGTATACACACATATATTTTATATGTGTACATGCATATATACACACACACATATACATTCACATATATATCCATATATGTATATGGATATATATATATATATATACACACACACATATATATATCTTGTAAGACTTTTTGGATTACAGGACTACAACATCTTTGGAATGTATCCTCCCGGACAATATCTCATCCTGCTATTTTGGGGAAGTAATTCTTTTGTGCTCTGGACATAGCCTCGAAGAATCCAAGATTTTGGAGGGAGCTCAGAGATAATTTATTTTAACTCAAGCTAAAAGATGAATCTCTTTTTATAACACCTGGGACACGCAGTCATCCAGTTTCCACTTTAAGAGTTTGAGCATGGAAGAAGCCAGTCACTACAGCTCTCAAGGAAGCACATGCAGCTAATTGTCAGATTTTAAAAATCTGTCTTCTTTGTAGAGTCTACCTATTCCCTAGCACAGCAGTGCCGATCTTGGGACCAAGAGGATTAATCAAATCCCTCTCTAGCATGATATTCCTTCAAATATTTGAAGAAAGTGGTCAAATTTCCTTTAAGTCCTCTCTACTCTAGCCTAATTTTTACCAGTTTCTTCAAATGATACTTGCAAGTAACGTATTCAAGTCCCCTCATCATCCTGGTCACCATATCCTTCCTAAAATGTGCCGTCAGAAACAACAGAAGCCGACTTCTTTGTTCTGGATGTTACATTACTACAAGCACATCCTAAGATAGAGCTAACTTTTTTGAATGTCACATTATACTGGGGTCATCACAAAAAAATTCATAGGTTAATTAAATTTCCTGCCCAGAGACATGGAGCCAGTCTATACCAGAGTTGAGACTTAAACTCACATCAAACTGGCTTTGAAGTTCAGTCCTCTAACCACTATACACACTGGTACCTCATTCCCAGATTCTGTATGTGTTAAATATAATTTCTTTCATATAGCAAGTATTCAATAAATATTTGTTGATATGATTTTACCTAAATGAAAGAGCCATTGTAGTAAGCAAATATGACCAATGAATAGCTCAAACACCAAGAAAATCTAGTTAATTAGATGGGGTTAGTTCTAGGCTTTTTTCTCTCGATTTGAGGACAGAGCTTTAAAAATAGTCTGAAAATCAATAACATATTTAAGGTATAGTGTTTTTAAAATGCCAAAGAATAAAGCTTAATGAGCTATAATTATATCACATCACTACTTTTTTTTAAGAGCCATGAATTAAGACAACAATTCATAACCTCTTTGTATTATGGAACCCTTTGGCAATAAGGTGAAGATTATAGACTCATTTTCAGAATAATGTTTTTAATTCATGAAACAAGACACATAAGATTACAAGGAAATAAATTATATATTGAAATACAGCTATAAAATGTTTAAGAAAAAACCAAATTCATAACACCCCTGAGATTTATTCATAGACCCCGAGGTGGCTGAGGATGCCATGGTTAACATGTCTAATTAGACTATTTTTCTTTTTTCTCTGCTTCTCTTCCATTTCTATCTATGGCTAATCAACTACCACTCAGAGGTCTGGTAAAAGAGCCTAGCTGTAGGAGGTGAACACCCTGGCAGACAGACAGGACGCAACATGTTATAGGTAAGTGAAACAACTACTACCTTCACCCACACCTTGACCACCATCTCTTCAAACCCTGTGAAGACAGTCTAGGTCCCTGGCTTCATGAGCCTTGGGAATGGCAGTGACCCCCCAGCCCATCATATTTTCTTCCAGCCCAGTACTTATGGCAATCAATCAGGGGAGAACCTTCCTTATGACCACCAGCAATAGCTGCTGGCCACTTGCTACCAACCTGTGAATGATCTCAGGAGCCCTGGAGGTGGTAGCATCTCCTGGACTACTGGTCTAGCTTTTCATCCAGCCCTTATGGCCAACATCTGGGGAGGCAACTCATCTGGAGAATAGCTAGCCATCTGTACTAACAACCAATTACCACTCACGGATCAGGAGAACCAGTCCATCTTGAATAGTAAGGTGCCCAAAACAAGGGATAAGTGCCAGCTTAGGTCAGGCAAGTCAACACACCACAATCTTGACCAACTTCTCTCCTTAAACCTTGATGGAGACAATTCAAAACCCTGAACCCAACAGCTTTGGAAATAGCAATGCCCAGTGCCCTCAGCCATCATCCTGGGGAACAGCTTCTGTGGAGACACAGTTCTTACAGGTGCTACAGCCCCAGCTATTGGAGACTCAGAAAAGAAAGTTCTTGTCACCAAAGTCTTTGGCACCGACAAATGGTTCAACATCAGAAACTAATTTTATCAGTGGAAATGACATTCAAGAAGAATCATTACCATCTGCTTTGCTGCTGAATCCTAAGAACCATGGGGCCTTTCTATGTGACTAAGAGCTGAAATGTTCCATCTGAATTGTCTTCCCCATTATAATGTGAGCCATCTGAAAGCAGGGACTGTCTTACTTTCCTTTTTGCTTCCTCGGCACTTGGCATAGTGATTTATACACAGTAAGCACTTAATAAATGCTTGCTTCATTTGTTCATTCATTCATTCATTCAATAATCACTTTCTCCATTGATTTCAGCAACAGAAAAGGAAATGTAAAGATCATGACCTTTTATATCTTTCTATTCCTTATCTTTCTGTGTTTCCTTCAAGAAGCCTTCAACAAGACTAATATTGTCAAACTACCAAAGTTCACGTGTTTCTCAACTTTGCAAAATTTTAAGGATTTTCTTCAGCTACTAATAACCCTCCCAAAGAGAGGTCTTACCACAAAAGTCCTAGCCATTGTCAAATAATACAACATCATCAATAGATATGACTTTTATTAATGGAAAGGACATCACATAATATACATTACCATCATCTTTGCTACTGCATCCCAATATTCTAGAGCCTTTCCATTCTATTTGCAGATAAAACCTCTTATATATGTTATCTTCCCTATTAGAATATGAGCTTCTTGAGAACAGGGATGCTTTCATATTTGTTATTTCCAGTGTTTGGCACTGGAGTAAGCAGTTAATAAACTTGTTAATAAACTTGATAATATACAACGCTTAAACTTTTTATTCTTTCATTCAATACCCTTCAGTTCATGAGTGCCTCTGGTTTCATGCACAATTAAAAAGGAAAATACATGTTAATTAAAATCAAAAGGGACATAAAAATAAACCAAATGACATCAAAGATGACATTTTGATGGCACTGATATTCTATTGTGGGATAAAAAAAGCATGATAATGATCACGGATAAAACCACTACCACTCTTTTCTTTCAATTTACAGAAGCTATCTAAGAAATTTTACTATTCAATGGCAGTTAATTTGCACTGTAAGCTAAACAAAACTCGTTAAAAATGTCCACTTCAGTCATCAGCATATGTTTATCTCTTGTTCATTCATTTACCAGACAACCAGTGTTGAAGCAGACTGTCTCTTGGCTTTATTTCATATTTTTGAGAATAAGTATATATGATGTAAATAGCAATCATTCTTATCAGTAAGTTCCCAAAAGGCAGGTAAAACTAAGAATCATCAACTGATGGCTGTAATCCTATTCTGACATAAGGGCATAAAATAGTAGAAAATTCAGGAGAATTGATGCTATTTGCTTGTTTTGAATCCTTTGAGTTCACTTTCTTTTATCAACAATCCTTCTCCCTTTAGCTTTCTATCCTAACAAATCCACTATTTTCATACCTCTAGAGAAAGCCATCTGTTAGGATAAAGCTGTGGCACTATCATAATTCAAACACTCCTTTTCTTTTTAAGTGTTTCTTGACCCTACAATTATAGAGAAACACCACTGGATATAAACATAAATGAAATTTGCTAATGTGGCATGCAAACAATACTAAAATGTGAACTTAAAATAGGAAAAAATGCAAAGCCAGGGAAGAATCCATTATGATTCTTTCAATCTCTTTTAATGCATCATAAAACTGAGAATGTTTCACTACAGAAAAACATTTTGGCTTCTTTTATGATTTCAAAGAAGGATAATTATGATTGTCATGAAAACACATTGAGCAGCTGTATACTGTTAACAAAAGAGCCATTATATGAATGCTTATAAAAACTGGAAATTTAAACATTCAGATTTCCTAGAAATTAGATATTCTTCTCCAATAGAACAGATACCAAAAAAAAGACTGTTTTCTATTAATTGTGGCTGTGTATCAGTCATATTTCAGAGCCAAATAGACCATCCTTATCTTGGGACAACTGCCACATACTTAGAAGTGTACATTATATCATTTTGTTAAAAGTAGTTTCATGTTCTCAATTTTAAAAAATACCTGGGTCAGTAGAATTTTTCTCATATAGACATATTTGCTTAAAAATCATAAAGAGCGTAACAAAGAATTACTGAGTTTGTTATGTGATAGCTAATTAATAGATACTTACTCGTTAAAGACTAGATCTGGAGCAAAATAGAGAAATTGGCTGTTCGTATGTTTGTAAGATCTCCAGCTCAAGGCAAATGATGATAGACACATCCAAGAATACTGGATTAGGGTAATTTGGTCCTCAAGAGGCAAGTTTTTAAATCCTGGAGAAGAGAACAATTAATCATAGAACTACACTTGACAGTTCACATGCTGTCCATGATGAAACACCTCAAGACGCCCCAAGTTGCTCTTTTACCACTCAGTTCAATCCACCAAGCCTTGAAGAAATATGTTCTATATGGTCAATGCTCAATTAGTTTATAAACATCTTCAGCTGTTGTGGGCAGTAAACATCTAAGTGGAACTTAGCTGGGGTGGTTCAGCTTGACTACTGGTTCAAAATACTCTTACTGATAAATCAGGACAATTTTTTCGAGCCCCATTTAGTAATATGTACAATTACTAAACTCCAGATGCATTTGTGATCATGATCCTATAAAATTCAATATCAGTGCATCAATTTTATACACTAAAAACAAGCCTTATTTTCTTATTTTTCTCTAAATTAGAGCAAGACTGGATTCTTGACAAAATTATGAAGTAAATTAGTTATTTTTGGTGTTCCTCTTTGCAGTGCTTCTCTGTCCTTTTTTGTTATCTTCTTGATACCACCTCTCAACTCCTCTTTTTTTTATAACACACACACACACACACACACACACACACGCGCATGCGCGCGCGCGGGTGCACACACTTCATGCTGCTTCAACAGGGCAGTATTCCAACCTCTACATCTGAACCTATCCTGATCCTATTTCTTATTTATCCTAGCCTCAATTCCTTAGGACACTGCTCTCAGTTAGGTGATAGCCAGAGCAGAAATGTTTTTGAATAAGTGAACATTTTTTAATTTAATTTTATTCTTATTCCAAACTTAAACACCACATAAAATGAGCATTTAATGCATATGTTGTAGAAGAGAAGAGGATTATATATGGAATTGCATGTCTCTATTACGTAGAGCTTGCTTTCTTTTTACATATACAATAAAATCAATATACAATTTTAAAGCTATTCTGCCTGTCTGTGACTCTTTCTGGCCTTCTTTCTGTGTTTCTCTCTCTCTTTTTTTGTGGGGGTGGAAGAAGGGGACCCTACCTCTAACTCCCTTCTTCCTATCATCTTTCCTCTGTTGTAAAAAAAAAAAACAGTGAGAAACCATGATCCCAGAGCACAAAGAAATAAACATATTATTCACCTTCTGACAGATGATATATCCAAGATGCAGGATGACTCACACATTTTTGGACATGGCCAACGTGGATATTCGTTTTCCTTGACTATATTTATTTGTTACATGTGGAACTTTTGATGTTTCTTAATTATACTCTACAAGGCTGCTGTCTTCTCAGGCTATACATGGAATTCTTTTTACCTTTGATTCTTCATTCTTAAACTAAATATTTTTACCTTGTTTCTCTTTACAAGAACACACTTTCCATCCATTTTCATCATCAACCAAAGGTTGTGTGTCTATGTCTGTGTGTGTATTTGTGTGTCTGTGTAAATAAATATATCCCATCCCTATTCAGCTGAAATTCACACTACACTCTATTCTCAATATATGTTTTTCAAAATGGAAATGATAGGAATAAAAATAAAACTAAACTCATATCAACAGACAGATGTTACATAGTAAAGAAGATTGAAAATCATGGAATAAAGTAAACTCCTACCTGGTAGTACCTTTGCCCACTTTACTACTTGAATCATCTGCTTGCCAGCCAGGCGGTTTAAGGTAGAGAGTAAGTTCTCCGCCGTATCTGGTTTGGAGCCATCATAACCTGCATATACAATTTCCGGTTCAATGCTTTCAAGGACCATAGAAGGTGAAGGTGTCAGTGCTCTTGATATTGTGGAGAGCTGAGGAACAAGGGCTGTATTAACAGAGGGCTCTTTTACTGGTGCAATATACGTTGTCCCCTCCTCTGGGCTCTGGGGAGGTGGTGGTGGAGCCTGCTGTGGAGGCTGCTGGTCTTCATGCATCCCTTTCAATTTTCCCAATTTCTTTGACTTTCGAGCTGAAAGCAAAAAGATCTTGTTACAAATGGTAAAGAACAGTTTTACCTGTAGCAACTCCAGGATGCTCAAATGTGGGTATAAGAAGTAAAAATAATAAAACAAAGAATAACAAGGAAACATATACACTCAGAAAAGGAGCTGAACTGTTCACATAATGGAGATAAGGGGTAACAGATGTATGCTACATGCTGTATCAGTACCCACAAAGCATGAAGGATCTAGAGGACAGCCTCCATTATACCAGACAGATCCTCTGTGGAACATCTAAGGGATTTTATGGCACAGACAGTTATTTGTGGGTTGCAATCTGTGTTAGGTAGAGGGAAATCAAAGATTCAAGAAGTGTCAAAATAACAAGGTGAATCAAATTAATGCTTACTCTAAGATTTACCATTTGAATACAGAGATTTAAAGCATACATTTACCATCAGACCTCAGTGGAAGCTATCTTTTTAAAGTTTAAAGACAATGTTTAACAAGCTTAAAACTACAGGCTTTCAATTACACAGGCTCTTGGGAATGAACAGAGTGCAGAATAGAGCTAACAAATTAAATACATGATAAATGAAATATAGAATCAAAACACCTCCTAAGAGCCAACGATTTCTGTCTTCTCTATGAAGCTTAGAATGAAGAACAAAAATAAAGATGGTGTACTTTGTGCTTCTCTTTTTGCCTTGCTCACTCTGATGAACCTTCCCTGATTCTCACTTGATTCTTCCGGAATAAACACATGGACAATTACCATGATGTACTTGATTAAATCCTGTACTCATTTTTCTCCTATACTGTTTTTCTTGTTTCCCTGATGACACCAAAAGCTTCTGAAGAGCTGGGATGATGTTTTCTATTTCTAAAAACTCCTCATTCCACCTAGGAAAATGTTATAATCACATCATGTAATAAAATTTTTTTTACTGAATGGATGCCCATCAAATGGCTCCAAGCCAGACAACATACAAGAAGAAGAAACGAATGCAAAGATCTTGTAATGTGGAAAATGGACAGTCCAACTCATCAGTCTACAAAAGTTCTTAATATAGGAGCAAATTAAGGTCTTGTTCAGAGCAGTGTGGGATGCTCAACCTTCTAACTACACTTGAAAATCTATTCTCTACTCTCCAGTCTCTCCATCCAGGACATTTTAAATACCAAATTAATTTCTATTCACTGAATAGAATGGACAAATGTGATGTTGAAATGCAGTACCATTTCATGTATTTTAGAAGACAAATATTTTAAAACAGAATCAACACATCTTATGGCATTTCCCCCTTTTTCATGCTACTTCAAAAGTTGTACATGTGAGTCTTTGAGGCATGTGGAGCCAAAGGACCATGGGGTATTGTACATTCTTGCTCTAGTTCGGGGTTCTTAACCTAAAGTTGAACATTTTAAAAAATATATATTTTTTCTTTTTTCTTTTTTCATACTAAATTGGGAAGATGGAAGCTACTAAACAATATTTTGAGAACTTCATTTCAATACAATTGGTTTTCTCTGTAATCCTATGCATCTTATTTTATGCATTGAAAATCATTATTTTGAGAAAGGGTTCATAGGTCTCACCAGACCAAAGGGGTCCATGACACAAAATAAGGTAAGAATTCCTGCTCTAGTTAGTTTATTCCACTTAAAGAACCAAAAACTGTTGAGGAACTGTATAACCTTCTATTGTTCACTTCACCCTCTGATGGTACATATGAGTTCCACGCTGATCTAAGAAGCTCTTTAACTTCCTACATATTATGCCTATGCTATTTTGAATGACAATTAGAAAAACGAGCAGACATTAGAATTATGGCTTCTTTCTTATATATGTACATATATATATATACACACACACATATATGTATACACACACATTATATATATTTTAGTAATTCAGGATGGGCTAGTCTGAATTATCAAAAATTCTGAATCCTAAAATGTTTTTAAAAGAAAATAAACTATTACCTTTCAAGATACACCATAACTGAAATAAGTCTAACAAAAATTACATGAAATTGCTATAGGGAACAAAGTAGGACCTATATTTAGCTTAACGATCTCAAATAAAAGGCAGCTTCTAAACTAAAAGAAACTAATTTTGTTAAGTGACTGAACATTCTTACAAATCTTATTTATACAGTTAATTTCCCTAACAAATCCTGCTCACCCCACAAAATTTAGTGTACTTTAGTTGCCAAATTCCATCATCATCATCATCATCATCATCATCATCACCATCACCACCACCACCACCACCACCACCACCAACTTTTATATAGTGCTCCTGGCATTGTGCTAGGCGCTTTAGAATTAATATTTCATTTGATCCTCATAACAGCCCTAGAAATTAGGTGCTATTATTATCATCCCCATTTTACATATGGGGAAACTGAGACAAACAGAGGTGAAGTGACTTGCCCAGGGTCACACAGCTACAAAGTATCTGAGGGTATATTTAAACTCAGACCTGGTGCTCATGTCTGCTATGCCATCTAGCTGCCCATATATTAAAGCCTGAATTAATGAGGTTGTGCTATATTTATTTTTTTAAATCACAACACTTTCTATTCTTATAAAGATGAAAGAAATCTAGTTCATAAAAATCTCACTCCTTCCAGGATTTACAACAAATAGCAAAACTGAGTATAAGCTGCTCGAACATAATAATTGTGGGTAATGTTTGTAATACTTTTTTTTTAATAGTAGCTAACATTTATTTAGCACCTATTATGAGCCCAGTACTATGCTAAGTGCATTAAACTATTATTTTCACTTGATTATTTTATATCAATTCTATTATCATTGTTAATTGTATGATACATACTATATAAATACACATTATATTACATTTTATATTAAAATTATTTGCATATAATTTGAGTTTGTTTAAGCTGTTGTGTTTTTTTGTTTTTGACTTGTAAGGCTATTATTAGAAGGACCAGGTATGTCATGTAATGCAAATTACTTGGTGCTTTAAGGTATTCTTAAATTCCAGTACACATAGGTCTTTATTCACACAAACACACAAAAAAGCCTATAAGATTCTGTGAAGACGAAGCTTGTTTTTAAAAGAGCCTTTTTGAGATTTTTCACCTAGAGGGTATGGGACTTCAAAGTTAAAGTCCAACCTTCTCATTTGCAGATGAAGAAATTCAGTCCCAGGAAGGTTATACAAAGGTAGTAAGGGCCAGAGGTAGTATCTGAACTCAGGTCCCCTGACTCCAGAGCCAGTTTTTTTTTCTTTCAATATAATATACTGAATGTGAAATTTATGACCCAAATTTGTAGAGCAAACCAAAGAGAAAACAGAGAGATTTTTAGTTTCTCAGTTATATTTAACTTTGTGAAATAATTTTCTGAATACATTCAGGGTGTTTAATAATAGAATGATAATCCATATTTACTTATTTCTAATTTATTTGTACTTTCCATAGCTCACTTCTACCATCTCTTATGCTTTCCAGTTATTGTTTGCTCCTGAGAAATAAAAAGTACATTAGTAATTATCCTTATACTGTCCTGAGTAGACTTTTTAAAATGCCATTAAAAAGCTCCTCTGGCATGTGGGTAGTCAGGAATCTAAATTGTGCTAAATCGGTATGTAGTCAAAGTTTCCTAAACCAACTTATTATTATGTATGCAAAAGTAGTACAATAATCTTACAAATTTTTCATTTTTGTCTAGGGAAATGTCTAATCATAATTCATCGTTCACGGTCTTCCAAAGGCTCTAGACTTAGCCAGACGGGGTTTGAGTGGAGGCTGATCCCGAGGGTCAATTTATCTTTTTGGCTCATTGCCCCTACTTATAGTGGCCCCAAGATTCTCAAGATATATAGCAAAGTCTAGGTTTTTTCCAAATGTGGGTAAAATGGGCACCCAGCTCCATCTAATAAAAGCATTTATAGTATCAAACGTACGTCAGGCATAGGACAGCCTTTTTTTCACAACATACATTTCAAAGAACTCAGGTGTTTACTAACAGATACACAAACACATGAAGAACTTAAATAGTCCACCATATCACTAAGGAAGGGAACTATTTTTGGAATTGCCAATAGGTCAACACCTTGACATTATAATAAAATCTCTCTCTCTTACTGATTTCTCCAAAGTTATCTCCTGAAGACTCATCCTACCACACTGTGGTTTAGGAATCACTGCTGTCCCTCCACCCATCACCTCAGACATCAAAAACAGTTTGTGTTTGATGAACAAGTAATCACACTCTCATTGGAACTACATTGTCTGAGTAGGTCACTGGCTTTGAGCTCCAAATAGGAACGCTAAGCAGGACTAACTTCTTTCTCCAAGGAGCACGATGATTCAAGAAACCTGCTGCTTTGCCTAAACATTTATATTTCCAAACTCTTGTACCCTTGAAGTCTTAAGTTATCTAGGAGATAGCTCCCAAGCTGATGTTTCCTGGGACATCTCCCTTCTTTGACTAGAAGACTTAAATTCCATGATCAAACTGCCCAGGAAATTAAAAATCCCTCCTTCTTTACATAGGAAATTGTTGTACAGGAACACTGTGATCCTCTCAGGTCATAGGCAAACTCACGTCTACCTCTGCTCTAAGCCATCATCAAATTTTCCTGAAGAGAACTGTGTATGAAATCATATCTGCTCTTAGTTTGAATGTAAGCATGGTGTCCACTGCTGCTACATAACAAGTGCCCCCAGAGATGGAACACAGGTATACTCTGTACCCACCTCTAAATAAACAACAAACAACATCATAAATGCTTTGCTGTCCACAGGCCTGGCAGTCAGAGAAAAGTGCATGGAAAGAGAAAGAGAAAGAGAAAGACAGAGAGAGAAATAGAAACAGATGCTAGAGATTGCAGAAGAAATGATTTCATGGCTTATTTTTAAGGTACAATGGGGAAGGGGCCACTCCTTGAAGATAGTCCATCACCCTGAGTAGCAGTTAGCTGATCATCTTGAGTTCCCTGGGTCCTATCAGGAAGGTGTTTTTTTTTGGGGGGGGGGAGGGTTGCCCACAT